TCTCCAGGGCGTCCAAGGGGAGTTCGAGATATTACCTTATCCAAAAACTCTTTGTTTCCTAGCAACTGCAAAACAACAACAAAAACTTATCGAAACATGAATTCTGAAATATTCAATGAGTCCTACTCAGATGATCAAGTAATTTTATGATAAAATTCTGGCCACAAAAATTGAATGATTTAAGTTCTCCATGGCGTCCAAGGCAGAGTTCTTAAAATGACTTCTTTAGTTCTTTAATTGAACGTTTTGCAGGGCTTGCTACTAAAAACCTACAAATTAAAATTTTTCATAATACTCAATATACGATCGGGAGAAGAAACAAGTAATTTAAGTATAGAATATTCCGAACCCCTGATGCGTGTCACTTTGGTCCTGTCTCCTCCTAGTCCACATCTAAGAATGGTTGAAAGACTCTCACTTTGACACCTCTAATTGCAGCAATAAAAAATTGAATACAACTAAAAGAAGGGATGTATTTACATGTTCCACAAGAGAGGTTCTAATAAACCAAGGTGCAACGCAATTGACACGAATCTTGTCTTTCGCCCATTCACAAGCCAAATTCTTTGTAAGTTGATTCATTGCACCTGTCCACGGCAAGTTTAGAGAGTTTATAACTTCATCCATTTCAAGTCGAAAAAATTTAAGTTGAGGTCAAAATCTACTGATTCAATTTCAAATTGTTGGAAAAAAAGGGATCGCCCATGTGGATTGACCCAAACCGATTTGTATAGGATGATTTTTTTGGAGGGAGGAGTTAAATTTTGATTTAAAATTTAACTTCTCATCACCCTCAACTGTATATAACTTCCATTACACAACAAAAAAAATATATATGTGCAAAAATTTGGGTTCCTTCAATGGGTAAATAGTAAATGAGAGTGGAGGCTTGATTTATGGAAATATAACATCTCAAATTGGGTTCTTGGGTTGTTGCTATCAAATTCCTTCATTTGTGATTGAGCTTTTTACCAATGAATGAGTAGAAGACGGTGTGGAAAGCAAGCAATCAAAAGGCAAATGATTCCGTTTTGAGATTTTCAAATAAGTTTTACAATTTAGAATTCGGTCAAAAACATGCAAGCATGTTTTACACAAACAAATGTCAAATTATACATTCCACCAGCCATGTAAAATCGACCAATAGATTTTAATCAGAGTTAAAGATGTAGTTGTACCATCATAAAATACCTATATGATGTAAATCGTTAGAGTAACTTGCCTTTAGTCATACTATAAACAGATGTACTGTCTATGTTTGTGAGACCAGCCACAGAGGAAATGAAAACAATCCTTCCATTGCCTGAAGCTTTAAGAAGATCATAAGCAAGTTGGCATTGATGGTAAGGAGATTCTAAGTTTGTAGCCATTAAATTGGTATATTCTTCGGCTGAATAATCAACGGCTGGCTTTGAGATGAATGTCCCAACATTGTTTATCTACTCACACAGGATCATAGGTCAATCTCAACGCTTAAATAAATGAATATACATCTTTTGTAATGGTTTAAGCTTTTAGATGATGAATATATTAAAGAAAAATAGCAGGCAAGGATCCTGATTTTGATTCCCATCACCATCCATTTATGAAAATTATGCACTTTCGTGTGAGTACTCACAAGAATATCGAGCTTGCCATTGAAAATCGAGGAGACTTTTTCCATGAGTTCTGTTCTTTGGACTCTAGAAGAAACATCACAAACAGAACCAGTGACTTTGAATCCTTTGGAATTCCATTCTTGCAAACGTTGATTGAGCTCTTCTTCATTTCTTGAACACGTGTGCACAATAGCACCCATTTCAGCAAGTTCTTCCACAGTTGCATGTCTGATGATCAAGAATAAATTGTAAAACAACCCATATAGATTTTCAAAAGAAAAATAGCAAAGAAAGGTTAAGAACTTAGTACTTCCCTAATTTTATAGGAATGTTAGCAAACGATTCCTAACTTTAATTTGCCCATATTTAGTCCCTAAACTTTGTAATGTTTATCCCATTATGATAATTTACGAGCATGCCTATAAAAGATCGTGTACGAACCAAAAAATGTAGGAAAAATACCCGATTCCACGAGTGCCGCCGGTGACAAGAGCGGTCATGCCGGAGAGGGACCATCTTGAACTGCTGCTATGTGCTACCTTTGCCATCGATGATGGCTTTTTTTCTCTCTTACACACACACACAGAGTGAACGAGTGCAGCTTTTTGGCGATTGAATTTGGAGAAACTATTGTTATTAATAACATTTTTATAGAGGGAGAAGAAATTGCAGTGTTAGCATTCTTGGTCAAACACGTACTTGACTGAAATACAAGTTGAAGTATTGTTAAGTAAAATAATGACGGGCCTTGCTAACTGCCAGGGGGCCGGCCACCGTGATAGGGGGCCAGTTCAGAAGTATTGTTAAGTAAAATAATGCGGTCCTTGCTAACTGCCAGGGGGCTGGCCCCCGTGATAGGGAGGGGTTCGTGACAGGGGGCCAACTGATCCCCTGTAATAGGTCCTTTGAGAAGGACTAAAGAAAGACTTTTTTTTTCCCAATAATTCCTGATATCTAGTTAATCTCTCAACAAGGTTCAAATTTATATGAAGTTCTGGCCATCTAATAGAGAAAAAAGAACGATCTTGTAGGATTTTTAAGAAATTCTTCAATTTCTTCTGGAGTCATATGATTCTCATGTTTCGTGAATAGTCAAGATATTGAGGAATACCTTGAATGGCAATCATTTTATGTCATTGCGGACCATTTTAATGAAATTGGGACTAGAGGCAAAAGCCATCCGTCATCGAGATATTACCACAATTTCCAAATGCATAGAAGTCCCTAGCTTGTACACACCACACGATTAAAAAAAAAAAAATTAAGAAGTGATCAATGGGCATCATTGACGGTCGAGAACACATTATAGACGATAATTCGGACCTTATTAGAATTTTATAAGAAAACTCACCTCCGATTATCTTTGACTTTAGAGTACACAAAAATTAGTTTTTTAATGGTCCCTTATATAGATTACAAGCCTGTAAACACACTACAACACAACATATCATTATGTAATAAACCCTTGGAGCAAAAATTACTAGAATTCTTTGAAGGCGTGAATGATTTTGAAGATGAAGAGGGTGTCGTCAACATTCATTAAAGAAATTCAAGATTAAGGGTCTTACCCAATTATTCTCCTAAATTATTCGGGTTATGTACATATTCATCATATATCTTGTATTTTTGCGATCAAATTATGATAGGCTAAACTTTTGTTGCTAAGATTATTATGAAACCTCGTCAACTCTTTACTTCAATAATTGCCAATTTTTAATTTTGATTCTTGTTTTGATTGTGTTGAGTATTTTAGTGATTCTCAAATAATCCCTAGACAATGATGAAAAATCGTGAAATTAGATGACCGCACTATCTTTATCCTTGGTAACTATTTCAGTTTCTCGAACTCTATCTTGACGAGAAAAATCTGAAAATTCGTTTGCCTCTTTGCCTATAAATTGGAGTCTCTTGGCTTCATTTTGATGATACAAAAAAACAGTTCCTGCTATGTGCATTTGAAAGCCCAGTTTCTGCCTTTCTTCTTCCTACCTATGTATGCCGTTCTCTGCCATTTGCCCGCGCCTTTGTGTGCCGTTTTCTCTGCCTTCAAAGTTCTCCAATTTGGTGTTGCCTTTGTGGTGTTAGATTACTTTTTTCTGAGCCTAATTAAAAAGGGGGAATTCATTGTTTTTCATTTTTAAATCTAGTTTTCTTCTTCATTTTTTGATTTCCTTTCTTGTTTAAGTTAATTCATAACTCACATTGTTGATTTGTTTAATTGAAGGAGGAACAAACATCAACAGATTGATTGTTTACTATTGAAATTATTCTGCAATCTTCTATTTTTTTGGATTGTTTTTGGAATTTGTGATGAGATCGAGAGGTTTCTAGCTTAAATAATAAACAAATATATGAGATAGAGAGTGTAATCTTAATTGATGTTCTAATTTTGTCTCGTGTTTTTCTATTTGCATCCTTCATAGAAATATAATGGAGTTATAGATAAAAGTTGAATTAATTTATCTCAAGGGAGAAAATTTATATATAAAGAATATTAATTGTCAACATAAAATAGGAACCGGTAATTGAGGATTAGAATATGTATACGATGGTGAATTTAGAATTCTTTCGTGACTTGATTAAATTTCAAGAATGGCTCATTGTTAATTACTTATTTTATTTGATAATTAGGAAAATATATCTCAACCTAAGTAGATTATCAATCTTCGCGTGTTTGACATTCTACCCAGGTTTGATAATTTAAGAAATGATAGGTATTTCATGATGGTTTTGAAGAAATGGTTGGTGTCAAAAGGTCAGCAAAATCATTGTTTAAAATATGTATCTAATTTCTAAGTAGTTCACACACAACATTAACAAAATGGTAGTTGGTAGTTTCATATTATCCATAACTTTTCCTATTACGTATATCATTTTTCATCAACCGATGCTTTCTTTATTTTTGCTAGTTCAAGGCCTTGAGGTGGCTTCTTTTATTTTTATGCCCATTTGTACCCATTTTATACCAAAATAATAAAAATTAAAGCAAAGAGAAACGTAGAGCAATCTAATTAAAGATAGCCGGTGAAATCTAGTCCTATTCTTCGGCTTGCTTGGAGAGAGAAGCACTAGCCGTCCCTCAATTGCCGTAGATTGACTGTATACCTCAAAAACAACCTCCAACACCACGCAGGAGGAAGGCTCGGGTTGATTACTCGGAGTCATCAAATCAGGAATGAACATACATTGGTTCGATGGTAAAGACATTTGGTTATATACTCCCATTATAGTTAAAACGTCAAACATTTGGAGGTAACTTCTTACTACTCTTTTGGATGTACCTTCTGATGAAGAGAAATATTGTATTTCCTCTATTCAAATACTCAGCAATATTTTTATAGAGCCACAAATATGACTTGGAACATAGTGAAGCAAAACCTCAAGGGGCACCTCATGATTCTCCTAGGGAAACCCGTTTACAGTCATTCCTCCGTCAACAGCAATAACCTGACCACTAATGTACGATGCAGTCGGGAGACAAAGGAAAGCTACCAAGGATGAGACTTCGTGTGGTTCTCCAGGGCGTCCAAGGGGAGTTCGAGATATTACCTTATCCAAAAACTCTTTGTTTCCCAGCAACTGCAAAACAACAACAAAAACTTATCGAAACATGAATTCTGAAACATTCAATAAGTCCTACTACAGATGATCAAGTAATTTTATGATAAAATTCTGGCCACAAAAATTGAGTGATTCAAGTTCTCCAGGGCGTCCAAGACAGAATTCTTAAAATTGGATCCACCTGGTTTTGCTCTTAGGACGTAAGAGTAAAGATTATGCCATTTGTACACTCCCTCCTTACACTATAGATGACATTTGCAGTGTTGTCAAAAGAGGATTGGTTGAAAAAACTATTTTTTAAACAGTCCAATTAAATGATGCCATGTGGCAGAGTGTAGGGGATAATGATGTACACCAAGCATGATTGTAAGAGTAAAGGGCCATCCAATGCATAGGCAGACTGCTTGTGCTGCCCACCCTTAATGTATAATGTTCTTCTTCCCTGAATTTCCACTCATTCCCTAAACTATCCAACAAAATATGGTATAGACTACTCGTGCATCGGTGCATGTTTGTTATATCGTAGTGGACACGATGGGACAATAATGAAAGGATTTCAGTTTTTTATCTTACGTATCAGTCTGAGCAGAGTCAAAAGGAGAGCTGAGTACTATCTGTTGAGTTCAAAACCCAAAATGAAAATAGAATTTTATTTAAGAAGAAATAGATTTTACACAAATTGATGACACTCCCCACCAGTACACCTCTCTAATTTTATATTACTAGCACTATTCTCTCTTTCCCTGCACTTTCTCTTACACTACTTAACACATATATATGCTGTGCCTCTCACACACTATCTTCACACCCACATAACATATTTATAAAGGAGTAATGTCGGTGGCTTCCTCCTTCTACACATTTCTACTATGGTGGTGAAGTTACAATCCTAATTCTAGATACATCCATAAATGGCGGTGGTGATAGTAATTGGACTTTTCTAGCCTCTTCTAGGCATGGATGCACTCTATACTTATTCTCTTATGTTGGCAGCTATTATGTTCAAATTCCAGCAGCTTCCAGATAATTTTTTTAATGGCGGTGCTGGCTTCTTCACTATCCACTCATCTCTGCCAAACATGCTTTAAAAGTAAGAGGTTATCGCATAAACTGCTGTAAGCGTGTGCACGTACATCTGGTGAAAGTGGTTGTTTTGGAGTTTATTTACTTAATTTCCAATTATATCAAGATGCTGACAAAAGATAACCTAAGTCCACTCCAGCACCCTGGAAAACTCATTTCTTCGAATAATTAAATTCAGATTATCACAGTGATAAAGGTAAAATGCACAGAGATTACATCTTCAGTCCTACACAAGATTAGCTGGAACTAGCTCAGTATTGTATGATGATTTCAATGCATTATTAAAGCCTACACGTAGGTGATAACATGTATTAAACAAATAATCAAATTATTGATCACGATATTTATCACAGAGTCACGAGTAAATCCAGTAATTCATAGAGACAACAAGTCAACAGGAAATTTCCCATTTTCTGTCCAAACACTCCAGTGTAATGTACAATTATGAGAAAGTAAATTTCATAAGGTTCAAGAAGTCACTGGGGAAACTCACTGTCCATACAAATACTCCTTAAGATTAATTTTAGAAGAATCACAGGGATGTTTCTGTAAGAAGAAAATGAGAAAGTAGCGAGAATTCTGTGAATCCAGTGATGTTATCTTTATAAAAATAATGATTCTCTTTTGCTTAATTTAGACAAGCTCCTATTGTAAAGACTCATAAAGGTACTTCAAAAAATCTAAATAATTCATAATTGGAGAAATAGCAAGATCACAAAATTCTGAAGCTCGAACTTTAGAAATTAGGCACAACTCATAGAAATAGCTTGGTACTTCTTAGAAAGTACAAGAAGAATTATATGTTCCCAAGCTCGATAAACTATCTAAGAGTATCTCCAAGAGGTTTTTAATTCCCGTCCTCTTTATTTTAAAGAAATGATATTCTTATTCAGGAGTCCAACAAACTCTATATATTCCAAAATTACAACAAAGAGTAAATTTGACTTTCCAAATGTAGAGAGTCAAACTCATTCTCTATAAAATATTTTAAAGCCTTGTTTGAGCCCCATTTTGAGAGAAAAATGTATTTTTGAATAGTGATTTTTGGAGAATGTGTTGTTAAAAAAGAAGAATTTTTTTTCGATTTACGTGTAATATTATTTTATTGGAGAATGTGGTTGAAAATGAGTTGAAAAAATGAATTTTTGACAAAATGGGGCTCAAACAATAGCTAAGTGTTTCATTTATTATTTCACAAATTTTTATGCACCACTATCACTATATTTAATTGATTATTTTACTTTAACTTCTTTCATCCCATTTTATTTTTTTTTTTAAAAGGAAAAAGTATGGCAGTTATTTTTTATGAAAAAATGCAAAATAAAGAATAAATATAGAGAGTGTTGTTAGAGCATCGAAGAGATTAGTTATAGAGAGCATCTTATGTATAATAGGGAGCATCTTTAGATTTAGAGAGTATAATTTTTATACGCTCAAGCTACACTCTATTTTGACTCTTTATTCATGCTTTTCTCAAGAAATATTTATTGATTTCTCATCATATTTTATTTAACATATATTTTTTCATGTCAATGGTCAATCAATTTAAATGTGGTTTGAATAATTTTAAAGGTAGAGAGTATTGAAATATGTGACTTATTAAGTGCAATAGATGTAAATTAAGAACATAGAAAGTTATTCACTCTTTATTTTAAAAGTTGCAATAGCGTCCTTTGGAGCTTATTTTAAAACTTTAATTCTCTAAAGTAAAGAGCATTTTGCATTTAGAGAGTATTTTGGAGATATTCTTATACTTGTATAAAAAGTTCCACTCTTACAATTTTAAAATTCTTAAAAATGCTATTTGTATTGCAAAATATGTTCTTTAAAACAAAGAGCATTGTCGGAATGCTCCAAGGAAGTTCTCCAAATTCTGACATATAACTCTCGGTGAGAAGAAGGACCACCCAAATTTCAATTGAGTGTAAAATAATCCTCTAACTCATAAAAACATTGTAATTTTTTCAGTTTCATGAACATGAATGCTGGGGAGGCAACCTAGTATACGATGGGTCAATATCATAATGGTCCAAATATGAGAAGATTAAGACTTGTAGAAGAAACAAGAAGAATAGAAATATTACATGTTCCACGAGAGAGGTTCTGATATACCACGGTGCAACGCAATTGACACGAATGCTGTCTTTTGCCCATTCACAAGCCAAATTCTTTGTAAGTTGATTTATTGCACCTGCGAGTGGAAATTTTAAAGGAGTATATAACTTTCATCCATTTCTAGCAAATGTTTAGTTTAAGAAAATGAGTATTTTCCCTCTAATAACTTGCCTTTAGTTGCTCCATAAATAGATCCGGACGATATGTTCACCAGACCAGCAACAGAGGAAATGAACACGACACTTCCATTGCCAGAAGCTTTAAGAAGATTATAAGCGAGTTGGCATAGATGGTAAGAAGACTCCAAGTTTGTAGCCAAGAGATTGGAATATTCTTCATCAGAATAATCAACAGTTGACTTCCTGATGTTCGTCCCAACATTATTTACCTAAGACATGAGATTCTATGAGGCCATTCTCAAGGCTTTCAAGAACAATAACGTTTTGTACCGATGGTAACTCTCAATTTCTACGTCACAAAAAATGCCATCATAGAGTTCACAGATGCCGAGAAGAAAATGATTTGACAGAGGAAAATATTTGGAAAAAACGATACGTGCTAATATTTGCCAGAACATAAGCATGGAAATGTAAAACAAATAGACAAGTTGACAAAAAAGTTATAGGTAGTGTACATTGGGATCATGGTCATTGATAATCATGTTTTGCTATGAGGTGATGCTTATAGCCCCAAGGTTAGGATTTAGGAGTTTACAGTCATTTACATTCTGTTGGAAGTACTTACTGGTTCGGTGATTCTGGACAGATGCAAAGTGATTCCACATGGCAACATTTTTTGACAAATTATTGGTTCTGGTTAAAGGCAAAGTGATTTCATAGGACAACATTTTATGATAAATTATTCATTTCATTTGCAAGTGGCCGGACGAATTCTACAAGATATCATCTTCTAAATAAACATTTAACTTTTAGAATAATGCTGAATGGTGTACATTCAATTTGACAGTCCTCTCACATGGGGTGAAAGCCGTGATTTTTAAAATTGCGGGCCCACCCCCTATGTGAGGGGGCTGTCACCCATGATGTACACCAAGGGTGTACATCAAGCATTTCCCTAACTTTTATGCCCATTGTCATTGTAATGAAAATATGAGCATCACATAAGTAAATGCCTGTTACCCTAATAAACTTTTGGAGGAAAATATTTTAAAAGTGTGCACTGAGTAATTGAAATTCTAGCACGGCAAACAGAACATATGAACTACGCCAAGAAACAAATCTTAACCGATTTAGCTCGGCTTCATGAAAAAATAACACGTTAACAATATTTTCATGCCAGGTGAGTATTTTTCATAACTCATGGGGTAGTTCTAGAACGAAAAAAGTTGGAAGACCAAAGTAAAACATTGCTTTAACTTGGATATTAACAGCATTTTTAACCAAATTTTTTTTTAAGGGGTACTCACAAGAACGTTGAGTTTGCCATTGAAAATTGAGGAGACCTTTTCCATGAGCTCTGTTCTTTGGTCTCTAGAAGAAGCATCACACACAGAACCACTCACTTTAAATCCCTTTGAATTCCATTCTTGCAAACGTTGATTAAGCTCGGCTTCATTTCTTGAACATGTGTGCACAATTGCACCCATTTCAGCAAGCTCTTCCACAGTCGCTTGCCTGATTCATATTATAAAAAACAAATCATTAAAAAAACACAAAAATAAAAAAACCCATAAATGGTGTTTGATGAAAAACCAAAAAAAATACGAAAAATTAATAACGACCCAATCCCACGAGTGCCCCCGGTAACAAGAGCGGTCATGCCGGAAAGGGACCATCTTGAAGTTCTGCTCTGTCCCTCCCTTGCCATTGATGATGTCTTCGTTCTCTCTTTCACGAGAAAACACACAATGAGCGAGTGTTTCAGTCAAATACGCAAAGGGTTCGACGAGGAGTGAAGAATTTGTGGGACTCTTTAATGGAATTGGAAGGGAACTGTTAGGCGTATCCTCTTTTTTTTTTGGAATAAAAACCCATATATTCCAAAC